TATACCATCATACTATTCTTGAACACCACGTACATAACCCTTATATTGCACACATATGTAGACACACCTTAAGACAATACTTCAATTCCCTATATAATGCCTTCAAGGCCATAATCAATACACATTCAATAAGTAAACACCTCCACCACAAGTAGATCAATCCAAACAAGAACAATTTCAATATAGCATGAAAGTAGGTCAACTTACCATTCTCCAAAGCCATAATCACCATTATCCGATTCCCAACAATTCTAACATCACAAGAGAATTTACCCATGACTTGCCTACAAGGCCATAATTCTCAACTCATCCATACACCAACAAAAGATATAGATAACAATAGGAATCAATAATACAAATCAATCTAAACACAATTCCATCAATATACAATCATAATTATCAAACCCACTTCATAAGCCAAATTTAGGAATTTAGGGAGATCATGGGTCCATGGAGTTTTTCACCTAAAAACATCAATTAAAGCATAATATAATCATAATAAATCATTTGAAACCATTTAATGCAAGAACCCATGAGTTTGAGGAAGAATTGAGGTTTTTCATAACTTTTGAAATCCTTGAAAACCATTTTGAGATTTGGCTCTAGGGCAAAAACTATCCCCAGATAAAGAGCCACCATACCTTAGTTGATGAATTCCCAAAGAAATTTGATGAAGAAAGCTTTGAATCCAAACCCTAGTTCCCACTTCTTCTTCTTTGAGTTGAGAGAGAAATATTGAGAGAGAAGAACTTTGGAGGTTTTGATTTGGGTATTTGAGAATAATGAATTAAGGAAGGTTTTAAGACTTAAAACTAAACCCCACACATTAAAACATTTAAAAGAAATTACCCAAAAGCCCCTAAATGAGGCAGCCCTGTCAGGGACCACGCCCACTTAGACGGGTGGTGAAGGGCACCACGGCTCGTGGTGGTGCCTGTGGTCCCTTGACCAGTGGGCCTCTCCACCATGTCAAGCCCTCAAGGGCCCAACGATCTGTGGTGCACACCACGAGTCGTGGTGGAGCTCATAAAAATGAGGCAACACCTAGGCAAAGTTGCCTTGCCTCCCTTGAGACCAAGTGATCTTCACACCCAAGTACACGAACCATCTAGGGTACCACTAGTCGTGGTGGTGCCCGTGGTCTTTGGGGCAGTGAGCAGCCAACTTGGGACAACCTTGGCTTTTTGGCTAAGGTTTACCCTTTTTGGCTTGGCTCCTTGTCTAGCACCCTCAACCAACCTAGAGTAGGTCTCATAGCATGGAGTTTAACACGTGCCTTGACGTTGACTCCTTAAACCCCTTTCAAACAAGACTAGGGCAACATTACACCACTAAAACACATTAGCTCAAAAGACTAGTCTCCGAACGTCATGGTTGTCTCTTGACGTTCGACCTCAAACTCTTCAAACTAAACCTTAAAAGCCAAAACTCTTCTTTTTAACAAATTACCAACTTCCAAAACACATGAGAAGATCTAGTTCCTCCTATTTCATTTTTTAAGGTTGTTACACTACCATGGACGTATCCCTCAAAGAAGCTTGTCGGACAGTCTCATACATGGCGCCCTCTAGATCTGCCAGATCGTCATATAAAATAACCTCTCGCTCCCCAAGCTTCTCTTCATCGGTCTCAGCCTCAGACTCGACAGCAGCATCATCCTCCATAATATCATCTCCGGTGGTAGCCGGAGGTACCTCAGCACGGGTTGGAATCGCAACACTCGAATCTTCGGGGGCCTCTACTGATCCAAACAACGAAGTGAAGTATGTGGACTTCAAATGGTCCACATCCTTCCTAAGCTCAGAAACCTCGACTTTCAAAGTCGTGACCCCGGTAGTCACCCCTTGTCCTCTCTCACAAGTAACTACTCTTGCAGTGAGAGCATCAATGGCAGCCTGGAGAGGTGTGAGTGCAACTGTGATGACTCGCTCAATCATCCAAGGCACCTCGACCTCTAGCTGGGAAGCCCGCACATCTACAGAATGGGCTAGGTGCCCCATCTTAAGGAGCATGGCTTGAGTGATCAGAGGCCTGGCGGTAGTGGTGCCTGAAGCAACTCTGGGAGGCTGAGAAGGAGTGGAAGTAGATGTATCTAAAGGCTCGGATGCCGGAGTAGGCAAAAATGTTTCTGCAAGTATCAAATCAATGTCAACCTCCAAGGATGTGTCCATCGGAGATGCTCTCCTCCAATCCACCTCATCCCGTGTGTACTTGGCCTCAATGCGCCGGACGTCCATAGAGGATGTGGGTGCGACCTCAATATCCCTCTTCTCGTCAAGGGGAACTCCAGCCCGCCGACATAACTCTGTAATAAGCATTGGGAATGGTAGGGACGTCAGGCGCTGTTTGACCCTCATGGCCATCTCCTACTCTATAATAAGTCCCAAGTTGAGACGTTTTTTGGCGATGATGGAGCCAAGACAAGCCGCCTTTGGGTGGCGGAGGATAGAATCATTCTACGAGGGCATGATAGAACTTCTAATAAACCCGAACAAATACCGAGCTGCTATATTCAAATCCTTCTTCTCAATAGGGGATCCAGCCTCAATCCACCTCGGGGTAGTGTCAGAAATAAGGGGAGACAGCCAGCCCTTGAGGTCATCTAGCGTCTGTGAGGTGACCATACTCTCATATGCGTGCTCAACATCTGTGGTCTTGTCAAGTACAACATTAATGTGATCGCTACTGCATCCCACTGTCTTCCCCCGAACCTTCACGGACTTCACTGATCTGAATGCACTAGCCTTCTTCTTCCCTTGGGGTACTAAATCACCATAAGTTGTGTAGAACTCAATGACCCAGGTGGGAATATATGGGCCACGAGGATTGGTGAATAAGTCAAACCTGTGGTACCAGAGTGTGTCCCACAAAAGAGGGTACCTATCCACCACACCATCCGTGGACAATCTCTTCTCTTCCAGACTGGTTCTTAGTCCCTCGGCCTTTAGCCTGTTAAGTAGCTGGGGAGGAGGACCTTGAACTGGTGGTGTTGGAACCACCGTCTGTGCCGGAGCTGGCACTGTATCAGCAGCAGGGGGGTTGACTCTGGGATTCTAGACGGATCTTGACGAACTTTGGCACAAATCTCAGCTCACCGGGTCTGAATTGGTTGGTCATCCTCTAGATCGGAGAATGAGGCCTGAGAATTCACAGAACCCCCATCACTGCTAGAGTTATGATCCTGTCTCTTAGCTATGGGCGCTTTGCCTTTTCCCTTGCCTCCCTTCAGAGGTGTTTTCTTACCTTTTTTGGAGGAAGTAGTAGCTCCCTCATTGATTACGATGCCCCGTGCTCGTTTGCGGGGCGACATTCCACTTTCGTCCCAATTGGTCCTAGCCATATCTGCAAAACACATCAAAAAGAGTTAAAATAATTTCAGGAAAATTTTCAGAATTCATGTTGCAGATAAACTTGCCGAACCGATCGGCGAATCGCCGAGTCACTTTGGCTAGCCAGATCAAGCTCGCCGAAAGGACTGGCCTAAAAACATCTCCAGAAAAATGGCAGGTCGGCGATGTGCAGGGCCATTCGGTAAATCGCCGACATCACTCGGCGAGCTCAACTATGAGATCTTAAAGACAAAATGAAGACAAATGAAAGCAAAAGAAGCCAAGAACTTGGAAAAATGAGGAAATAGGCAAAACTGTAGCTCACATAAGTCACTTCGGCGTCGTTAAGTGAAGCTAAGCCCATCGAAAATGAAAGTTCTTAGATCCTAAGGATTCATGTTAGGTCGGTGATGAGAAGATACATTGCTGAAGCTACTCGATGAACTCCATCAAGCTCGCCGAAAGTAACAGGGACCTAAAGACCAAAACCAACTTTGAGAAGTTGATTTGGCGATGAAGAGAGCAATTCGGCGCATCGCCGATCACAACTAAGGTCATCGAATTGGTTTAAAGGGCATTTTTATTAAGTTTTTTAGAAAAAGTATAAATAGTCCTTTGTGGAGAGAGAAAACTACTTTTCACTTTTCTGAATATTTTTGTACTGAAGAACTTTCTTACTAGTGAGAATAACTTGTACTTGAAGATTTAGGGAGAAGTGTCTTGGGTTGAAAGGATTTGGGGATTAATTTATCAGAAATTGTTTAATCATTTGGCTCCAATACTGACAACCTTATTAATATGTGCCTTATATCCAATACTCCAATTGTGCACACTCGCTTGATTTCACATTGTTCGAAAATTACCCTCTTCAGTTTCTTTATGTTCGATTTGTTATTGATAAGTTTTTCGTATTGCAAGTTTGCCTATATGATGAGATGTATGAGCTGAGAAGCTTTCCACATAATGTTTGATTTTTCATGCAACATAACGACTACCTTATGTGAAACTTTAGGTATATTCATGGCAATATAATTAGGTCTAAAGAGCATTAATCAAGATATTTTTTCCTCATCACCGCCACATTTCTCGTCCACTAGAAGCGACAATCACTAGAGGAGGCCACATGAGAGCAAAACTAAGACTTGAGGCAATACAAAGATAAGATCTGAAAGTTCACAAAATAGTAATGCGCCGTGATCGCCATAACATCAAGTGGGAGAGAGTGTGATGACACACTATGTCAACACATCACATAAGTGCCACTTGGTACAAATTTTTTCCCATGTTGAAAACTTAAATAAGAAGGAGGTTAATATGAAGATCCTAGAATCATGAAAAGTTTCTTTGAAAAGACTGTTTCGGGAAAAGTTTCTTTGAAAAGACTGTTTCGGGAAAAGTTTGAAATATTTTAACCTAGAATTTTTTTTAGAGAGTAACTTATTTGTAAATACATAAAAGGTTATATAATGATAATTTTTATTATTATCGAATAGCCTCTAGATGAAAAATATAAATAGAGAATAAAATTATGAAGCAAAATTAATCAATTTTTATGAAATGCACCCATCCATATAAACCCTAGACTAGACTAGACTAGATAAGTGATTATGTGTAAGAACTCTCCTAATTATAACAATAAAAATAATAATAACGTTTTGTGTGTGGTGCGAAGAAAGCAGTAACTTTTATCAGATCTCGCTTTACTAGAGTTGCCGAAGATCATCCCAGCAGGCACCAGTTGCACAAGATCATCGACTGAGAGTCAAAAGACACTGTTCAATTTCAGAAGAAACTGACCTGACCTGACCTGGCCTCCTTCAATGGAGGACGCTTACGCCCGATCTGTTTCAGAGGTATCCTAAATTCTCCCGTTTCTGGTTAAACAAGAATATACCTTGTATGACAATGCTGCAATTCCATTTCCAGGTTCTTGAATTCTTTGCCGTGGATCCAACTAAAGGTCTTACGGATTTAGAGGTGCAGTTTCAGTAGCCAAACTAGTTGGGAAGGATCCAATTCAATACCCCTAATTCTTTTTTTTCTTTTGTTTCCCAGGTTACACAACATGCACACTCATATGGCAAAAATGGTAATCATTGTTTCCCTTACTTCTCATGTGTTATGTTCTTACGACGGTGACATTTTCAGATGACTGAACGACATAGCTCATGTGCATGTCTGCATCTTGAAAATATTTGCTTATTTTACTATAAAAAAATATAAGTTGTAGTACCTATAATATCACAAACTTAATTGCCTAGGCTCCATGTTGTATTGCCATCTTGTATCTCTATTTGTTTATGAATTTTGAGAAGTTTGAGGTTACAGGAACAAACCAGGAAAAAAATGCATGCAAGTTGACTACTTTGTGCCCTTAAATTCAGTAAGCGGAACAATTTAGGCATGTACACGATTTAATTTCACTGTACATTGGGCTAGTGGAAGTTGACATTCCTATCTTTGGTCCCTAAGGTTGGTGAGGTTTCTTTTGGCCAGGTTATTTTGAGAAGAACAAAAGATTCATAGAGTCAGGATCTTCTAGTTTAGTAAATTTTACCAAAATTCTTGCAAGATTATGAGATCATCCTATGTCCAAGAAATTTCGGTTCCAAATGTTGTTATGATGCTTAGATAGCTGCTATCTTCCAATTGTGTTGTAATTTTAGCTAACAATGGATAGAAGTTGATGAGTTGATTGAGCAACTAGTAAATGTTGGTTGTCATAACCGGTATGGTTGTGAGAATATAATCAAGTTTGTGGACCCAAGAGTTATGAAGCTACAGAATGTTATAGTTATACTATTAGCTTGCATCTCAACTATAATTGGTATGATAACAATGGTGTCTGCATCAACTTACATCTCAACTATTCCACCTGGTGCCTGCAATCCTACCTGCAATCGTATGGATAATTCTGTTATCACACTTTAGGTAGATTGGAAGTGATTGCTTAGAGTGTTTTTGTCTATATTGGATTTGAACAGTGGTGTTCCATGATTTGTGTCTACTTCGTTGACCAGTAAGCAGTATTCTTTGAGACTGTGAGGACATGTTTTGCACGGCCTTATGATACTGGATTGTCATGAACAAAATAATGTTCTAATGACCAGGGTGATGCGTTGTTTATTTGAGGAGAGGCCACTGGATACGCCTAAAGAATCACTCAATTTTATTCTCTGTCTCTGACGCCATAATTTATTTTTTAAATTTCATACTAATAAAAATGTTTTTTCTTTCTAATTGGTATCTGTTGTGGTAAGATTTATCTTCAACACAAAGTAGTACTGGAATCAGATTAATATGTCATAATTTTTAAATAATTATGCATGTGTTTTGTTATGTGTTACTCTATATGCTTGTCATTTGCCTGATTTTGTCTTCTCTGATCAATTTTCTCTTTGGTTGCATGTTTCATGAATTTTCTCAGTGTTGCCTCAAGAAAAATGTAAGTTCTCTTTCCTTTCCCTCTCCCACTCTCTATCAGACACATATAATTAGGTTGCATCTAAAATAGGGTAGAAATAGACATGCATAATCAGTAAGCCAGCTTCGCTTTAGTTAAGGAGATTTTATTCTTGTGTTTTATTTTATTGCTATAGTAAAAAGCCTGGACTTCTGATGGAGTCATGTTTTATTAGCATTTGTGACAAAGATAGGAAAAACAGTGAAAGCTCTTGCTCGACTGATATTGTATTACAAGAGCTTTTTCTAGAGGAGCATATGGTACACAAGATAAGAATTAACCATATTCGTTATTACTCTACAGTCTACACAATTATGTTATATGCTGTATGCACCCCAAATATTCAAGAAAGTCAAATAAATAACAATATTATTTTATTTGATGATGATACAATGCATACCTTTCTCTTTTATATTATTTCATTTTGGTGATGATAAAATGCAGAATGATTTGCAGTAAAGTAAGCATTTATTTTTCTTGTCCAGTCCTAATAATTGCATTTTCCTCTGAACTTAACGTTGCTACACTGAACTCGGTTGTTTTTACAATTCTGAGCCATCATGGCCTCAGGATTCTCTTGAAATCTGTATAGATCTAGAAATCTCTCTTGAGTGACAAGTGTCCAAAATCCAAACATCAGATCAAAATCCATCTCTCTTGCAAGTTGCCACCCCTACTTTAAAGATGTATTTTGGAAAGTTTCTCCCATCCTCGGCTTAATTTTTTATTTTTTTAAAATCTGTCTTTGATTCATGTGTTTCCATAGGTTCACTCCTCAAAATGTGGTTATTGCCTTGCTGGTTTAGAGGGTAACTCCCTTTCATTCTGATCATTTAGTTTCAATTAAGCTTTTCTTTTGCCATTGCAAAATCCCCATACCCACTTCCCAAGACAACTTTATATTGTGGTGTTTTAGGTGTCCGATGCCCTTCCCCCTTCCTATTGTGGTCACAGATTTTTCCACTTTGCATGACACACTTTTCCCCTTTTCCTTTCTTTCTATTCCAGAAAATGTCCCGTATAATTATGTGAGAAATTAACAGGTCCGAGATGGTACTCAACTCCATGTTTATCTAAGTCAGTCATTCTTGGAGGATAGGTAACACATCTTTCAGGTGGTTAAGATTCTTTCAAAAGTTATACCACTCTACACCCTGCACTTCACTTTTATGCTTTGCTCCTAGTGGTATGCCTGATGTTGATAATGTACCAATCTTTATTGGTTAGTGCCTCTTTATTCAAAGCTAGAACTCATGGGCAATGAGGCACATGCCTTAGTTTGCCCAGCCTACACTGAAGTGCATCTTAAGCGACACAAAGATGCACCCTTGGTGAGCTTTCTGAGCTAAAAGGCTTAAGCAAGCCTCAAAAGAGCCTTGACTGCACACGATATTGTTTTTTTTTTTTGAGAAAGGTAACTTGTATTATAAACAAAAGAATACATTGTGAGAAATATATGGGAAAAATAATATTGAATTGTGTATCTAAATAATTACATTGAGACCCTATTTATAGACACTACATTGGAATCCTTTTCCAACTAGGATTCCTATTCTTATTCCTATTCTATTCCTATTCCTATTCTAAGTAGGAAATACTTATTTCTATTCTAACACTCCCCCTCAAGCTGGTGCATACAAATCATATGTACCTAGCTTGTTACAGATGTAATTAATACGAGGACATGTGAGGGACTTGGTGAAGATATCTGCAAGCTGATCATTTGACTTCACAAATTTCGTAACAATATCTCTCGAGAGTATCTTTTCTCTGACAAAGTGACAGTCAATCTCAATGTGCTTAGTCCTTTCATGAAACACTGGATTTGATGCGATATGAAGAGCCGCTTGATTATCACACACAAGTTCCATCTGATCAATTTTGCCAAATTTTAGTTCTCCCAGCAACTGTTTGATCCAAACTAGCTCACAAGTTGCTGTCGCCATTGCTCGATATTCTGATTCTGCACTAGATCGAGCAACCACATTCTGTTTCTTACTCTTCCACGACACCAAATTACCTCCTACTAAAACGCAATATCCGGATGTCGAACGTCTGTCAGAGGGTGATCCTGCCCAATCAGCGTCTGTATATCCAATGATATGCTCATGGCCTTGATCCTCAAAGAGTAGTCCTTTACCGGGAGCTGACTTTATATATCGCAGAATACGAACAACTGCTTCCCAATGACTATCACACGGGGAAGTCATAAACTGACTTACAACACTTACAGGAAAAGAGATGTCAGGTCTAGTCACTGTGAGATAATTCAACTTTCCAACAAGCCGTCTATACCTTTCAGGATTACTAAGTGGCTCCCCCTGTCCTGGAAGGAGCTTAACATTCGGATCCATAGGAGTGTCAATAGGTCTACATCCCATCATTCCTGTCTCCTCAAGAATGTCTAAGGCATACTTGCGTTGAGAAATAACAATACCTGATCTTGACTGAGCAACCTCAATACCTAGAAAATACTTCAATCTGCCAAGGTCTTTAGTCTGGAAGTGCTTAAAGAGATGTTGCTTCAAATTGGTGATACCATCTTGATAATTACCAGTGATAACAATATCATCAACGTAAACAACCAAATAGATATATAGACTTGGTGCAGAATGACGATAAAACACAGAGTGATCAGCTCCACTACGAGTCATGCCAAACTCCTGAATTACTGTGCTGAACTTCCCAAACCAAGCTCGAGGAGACTGTTTTAGACCATAGAGTGACCTACGCAATCGACATACAAGGCTACTAGACTCCCCCTGAGCAACAAAACCAGGTGGTTGCTCCATATAGACTTCTTCCTCAAGATCACCATGCAGAAAAGCATTCTTAATGTCCAACTGATGAAGAGGCCAATGACGAATGGCAGCCATAGATAGAAAAAGACGAACAGATGCTATTTTAGCCACAGGAGCAAAAGTGTCACTATAATCTAGCCCAAATATCTGAGTATACCCTTTGGCAACAAGGCGAGCCTTAAGTCGATCAACCTGACCGTCTGGACCAATTTTGACTGCATAAACCCAACGACAACCAACAGTAGATTTACCTGCAGGAAGGGAGACAAGCTCCCAAGTACCACTCTTATGTAAAGCAGACATTTCGTCAACCATAGCCTGCCTCCATCCAGAATGAGAAAGTGCTTCACCTGTAGTCTTAGGAATGGAAATAGAGGACAAAGACGACACAAATGCATAATGGGGTGATGATAGACGATGATAACTTAAGAAGGTATAATGTGGGTTAGTATTTCGAGTGGATCGTATACCTTTTTGAAGGGCAAGCGGTTGGCTAGGAGGAGGCAAGTCCGCAGTAGGAGCAGGGTCCGGCGCATGACATGAATCATCTGGGACTAGGGTTGGACGTGGACGGCGATGATAAGTTAGTAGTGGTGGCACTACAACTGGAGATGTAGAAGTAATCGTAGATTCCTCAAAGGTTGGCACAGGTAAAACCTGAGGTATGGGTAAGACCATAGATACATCAGGATGATCAGAAGATGTATAGTAAGGTTGAGACTCAAAAAACGTAACATCAGCGGACATAAGGTATCGATGAAGATCATGTGAATAACAACGATACCCTTTTTGAACTCGAGAGTAACCAAGAAAGACACATTTAAGGGCACGAGGAGCTAATTTATCTTTCCCTGGGGCTAAATTATGAACAAAACATGTGCTCCCAAAGACACGAGGGGGGATAGGATAGAGATGTGACTGAGGAAATAGTATGGAATGTGGAACCTGATTCTGAATAGAAGAAGACGACATTCTATTTATTAAATAACAAGATGAAAGGACTGCATCACCCCAAAAACGCAGTGGAACATGGGATTCAATGAGGAGAGTGCGAGCAGTCTCAATGAGATGCCTATTCTTTCTTTCTGCTACACCATTTTGCTGAGGAGTGTATGGACAAGATGTTTGGTGAATAATTCCTTGATGAGACATAAACTCCTGAAACTAGGATGATAAGTATTCTAAGGCATTATCACTATGAAAAGTACGAATAGAAACACCAAACTGATTTTGTATTTCAGCAAAGAAACTTTTGAATATAGAAAATAACTCAGAACGATCTTTCATTAAGAAAACCCAAGTGCATCTCGAATAATCATCAATGAAACTAACAAAATAACGAAATCCTAAGGTGGAACTGACTCTACTAGGACCCCAAATATCAGAATGAACTAATGAAAAAATAGACTCTGAACGACCCTCAGTACTACGTGAAAATGTAGCACGAGTGTGTTTCCCAAGTTGACACGACTCACAATCTAATGTGGATAAACTAGACAAACTAGGCACCATCTTTTGCAGTTTGGATAGACTTGGATGTCCCAAACGTTTGTGAATTAGATCTGGGGAATCTGTAATGGAGCATGCTGTTAAGGAATTTGAAGAGGTAAGATAGTAAAGGCCTTGTGATTCATGTCCTGTTCCAATCATCTGTCCCGTACTGCGGTCCTGCATGAGAAAAAAATCATCAAAAAAGGTTATGCTACAATGTAGGGCTTTCATCAAACGACTAATCGATGCTAGATTAAAATGAGAACCAGGGACATAAAGAACAGAGTCTAGGGTGACAGAAGATACGGGTTTGGCTTTTCCAACCCCTTTTGGTTTTGTTTGGATCCCATTGGCTAAAGTAATAGCTAGAAGAGATTGTGAATAAACAATATCTGACAATAGTGATTTATTACCAGAGATATGATCAGAAGCCCCCGAGTCTATGACCCATGATCCAAGAGTGCTAGACTGTGACACACAAGTAAATGAATTACCCACAACAGAAACATCAGGTTGTGCAACCGAAACTACTTGTGGAGACGTTTGTTTATTTGCACGATACCGAAGGAACTCTTTATATTCCTTTAGAACAATAGGATCATAACTGGGTGGTGAACCATGCAAAATATAACATATGTCACGAGTATGTCCAGGTTTATGACAATGACTACACTTGGATCGAGGTTTTCCAAAACGTTGTTTACTTGCACGATTTCGAAGAAGCTCATTATATTCCTTTAGAACAATAGGATCATAACTGGGTGGTGGACCATGCAAAATATAACATACGTCACGAGTGTGCCCAGGTTTATGACAATGACTACACTTGGATTGAAATTTTCCAAAATGTTCTCTCCTTCGTCGATTCTCCATAGACTGGTATGTATGCTGGAAACTGACAGAAACTGCTATAGTGGTCTGAAAATATTGGAAGCTGCCGGAATCTGCCCACAGTGGCCTGAAAATTCTGATTTTACAGGGAACTTGCCGGAAACTGCCCTGCAGTGGTCTGCTTTCGCCGGAAACTGCCTGAAAATCACCGGAACCCTAATTCCGGTGATCGAATCTAGAGAAAACTGAATGGGTTCTGGTCGGAAATACTGGGCGACCCCAACAGAAGAAAACAGCTCGAAAAAAGATGACCGGAGCAGTGTTCACGCGCCGGCGCGTGAACAGATCTCGCCGGAAAACTTCCACCTCCGAACGGCGCGTGGGGGGTTGTTTTCCGGTGGAAATTCTTGGGGTTTGGTCGCCTGAGCTTCCCGAGCCTCGTGATGGTGTTGTCTTTCGCACAACACCTTCAGAACGAAAGATGACACAAATCAGTCCCAACCGTCGTCGCCGGAATTTGACACGGTGACTTGAAGTTTCTCACCAATGCTCTGATACCATGTGAGAAATATATGGGAAAAATAATATTGAATTGTGTATCTAAATAATTATATTGAGACCCTATTTATAGACACTACATTGGAATCCTTTTCCAACTAGGATTCCTATTCATATTCCTATTCTATTCCTATTCCTATTCCTATTCTAAGTAGGAAATACTTATTTCTATTCTAACATACATAAGGAGTATTCTAGTAATACTTACATCCAAAAGTTGCTAAAAGAAAAGAACTCCTATGGATGTCATAAGAACTCTAAAATACTAGGAATATCCTCTGCATCTTGAGGATATTCATGTTTACACCAAAAAAAGAAAAGAACCATGCAGTTCAACTTCAAATTCTGCATAGAGCAGCTCTTGTTTTTAAAACATCTGTGGTTCCTCTCCATCCATATAGACCACCAAATGCAGGCAGGGACAATCTTCCATCTCTCCCTGTGTCCTGACTGATTCCCATCTCTGTTCTAGCAAGCTAGAGCTTCTTTGATGTTCCTTGGCATAGTCCAACTGATGCCCCTTAAGTTGATGAAAATCTGCCACAACTTCGCAACCTCTCTACAATGTAGAAAGAGATGATTTATTGTCTCGACCTCACATTCACAAAACCAACACCTGGAACAGATTTGCATGCCTCTTTTCATGAGGTTGTGTTGAGTGAGTGCAGCCTGATTGGCTAACAGCCAAGTGAAGCATGCTATCTTGAGTGGTATCTTGACTTTCCAAATCATCTTCCAAGGCCATCCACCTATATGGGTACCAGGTCTTTGTGAGCTTCTATAAGCCGAGCCAACTGAAAATCTGCCTTGCTCATCTGGATTCCAAAATAGATTGTCCTCATATGTGTTTAGATCTTTGTACTGCCCTAGAATGTTGAGTAGCTCAACTAGAATATTGTGATGTTCCTCCTAGAAGAAAAGCTACTTTTTTCAAAAATTGACATGCAATCAACATGCTGCTTCAAAGGCCAATAAGACTACTCTAATATCTTTTATCTGATCATCCTTGTATTCACGCGAAAACAATGTGTCATCTGCAAAGTGGATGCTGGAAATCTCACTTACTGTCATGGATCCTTCTTACAGTGAAGCTAGTTATCCACCCCATTCTTTCATCCTTAGTTCTACTAAGACCTCATTTGTTTTCATTTAGATTAAAACATCTGAAGCTAAATGCACATCTAAATGATCAAGATTCTGTTTTTAGATCTGAACACTGAATGATTAAGACCGGTTGTTTTAAACTTCTGAATATAAATAGTTTATCAATATGTAAACACAATAAATACTATACTTAAAATAAAATTGTAGTTAAACATTATATCAACAAAATATTAAAAAAACATTAGTTGAGAAAAAATAAAATTATTATTTAATAATAGTTAAAATTTTCGAAGATATAAATATATATCTTAAATTTTTTAAAAATAAAGTGAAACTATCTTCTGTACATAACAAAAATAATTGTTAGAAGTTATTAAAAGAAAATTCTCATCATCTTTTACTAATTTTTGCAAATAATTTTTATCAATTATTGATGACCAAGCAATACGATCAAGAATTAAATGTTGTTAAAATTAAAAGGGGCAAGGGCTTGGATAGTTGATGGTTGGAGAAAGAGAGGCATGAATTTTTTGCAAAAGAAAATATATGGAACGAACTTTAATAGAAGTCTGTATTTAAAAGAATCTGAATGAGATTAAGACTCTGTTGTAGATCTGATTCATTCTGACCCTTTCTGACCCATTAAGAGATTCTTAAGTAGAAAAAACAATTGCAGTTAATAATCTAATGTCACCATTCAAATTTAGACCTCCATTAAGTGCAAACAAATGAGGCCTAAGATTATCCATCACAATTATAATAAGGGTGAAAATGGATTATCTTGTCCAAGGCCTCAAGAAGATTGAAAGAAGCCTCCACCCTGGCCATGTAACAAGACTGAGGACTTCATTTGTGCATTAAGTCCTCTTTCTCTACTTTCACACTTCATTTTCTCTAGAACTGAGATGAGGAGATTCCAACTTAATGGGGTCGTAGGGATTTTCTATGTCTTGTTTTAAATGATTCCCCGATTTTCTCCTCTTTGTGTTCAATCTAGGCACAAATTAGCAATCAGGACTTACTTGAGATTCGCCTCTCCTGATAAAATTATTTTTTGACTGATGGAGCTCGGCATAAAAGGGCTTCATTAATGTCCTGTTTGCTAAATGATCCCTCGATTTCCTTCTCTTTGTTTAGTCTAGGTACTCATTTGCAATGGGAACCTAATTGGAGATTTTCTTTCCTGCTATAAAGCATTCTGTGAATAATGAAGCTGGGCATAATTCATCCCTTTCAGTTTCTTATACATACTAACAAGCTGATTGGTCTAAAGACCTGTAATTCCAAAGACCCACTTTTCTTTGAGATCAGGGAAATAAAAGAAGCACCTAGACTTCTTCAAACTTCCTCTCCTTACATTGTTGCCAAACCTCTCTCCATGTTCCAGCATATGTGTAAAATATGAATACCTATCTGAATCTATTAGGTCCAGGGGCTTCAGCTGAATCCTGGTGTTTCATGACCCACACCATTACTTATTGACTGAACCAAGCTATTTCTGGTTTCAACAATTCAATTCAGTTGAATAAATTTTAAGCATTGTGCTTATTAATTGGGACAATTATCTTTTGATACGTAATATTAATATTATTATTATTATTATCTATTGCAGGCACTCCTTTCTGGAAGTTGGTGCTGAAGCAATTTAACGATTTGCTTGTTAAGATTCTAATTGCAGCTGCTTTTATTTCCTTTATTTTGGCACTTGCTAATGGAGAAACGGTATTATCAGCCTTCATTGAACCTTCGGTAAGCAAACTTGACTTCTCTTTCTTACTGCCATTAGGGGATGGAGTGGGAGTATAATTCGGGGGAATTTTTCTTTTACCAAACATAAATGTCTAATGATTAAATAACAATATGACCCACATATCTCTCTTACTAAAAAATACTTTCAGTTCTGCTCCCAGGCCTTGTTTTCTCAAGGAGATCAGCTAGGGTCCCTTAAGGAGTACGGACTTCTGGTTACCCCTCTCTGGTGGTATTTGATTGCAGGAGCAGCCATTTTCATTTTTTTTTTCTTTAAAGCCTTTTATCTACCATGGATGATCATAGTTATTTTAGATCCGGGGGGGGGGGGTAGTTTTTTGACATCACAGAGACGTTGTCCAAACGAGAAATATAGTTCAAATGGGTTGAGAGCTCAAGGTTGCACATTGAGGCTCTTTTCTGGGGATCTCGGAGAATCAGAAAGGCTTCCCTTGTTTAGGGGAGAGTCTACCAGACATGGAAAAGCAGAGACAAGTCTACATCTCTTTTCTGTTTCATGAAATTCTACATCTTTGGTCACTGTATTTCAGTTATTGCCGTCACAGGGCAATCCAGAACAGTTATTATAGTGCCAGAGTATTTAATGAGGGTTGGTTAGAGGGGTATTTTTGACCCCTTACTCTATTATAAGACATAAGCTACTTATGAACATTGTAATCTAAACTTTTTCATCATTGTTTCCTTTGTGATTTTAGCGCTTGATGTACTGTTTTGCTTGTAGTATGAATTGGTCATGTTTTGATTATATAATAGCAGCACGGAAAAATATGAATAGGAAGAGCCGGCTTGGCAAAAATAATTCTGAAGTAATAATTCATTATAATACAGTGAACATGATCTCCATATTTATTGAAAGAAAGTATGCTACAAAGTGCCAAGAAAAGTCTTCTGGTGGTACTGCTGAAGAACAAAATTCATATCATTTATGTATTCCTCCTTGTTTTACCATAATCACAAGTTATGTTTACAGGTTATCTTGATGATATTGGCTGCAAATGCAGCGGTCGGGGTGATCACAGAAACAAATGCTGAAAAGGCTCTTGAGGTATGATATTCAGTTGAGTGTAGAAATAGTGACATTGCTGTGCTAGCGTCCTAATTTTCAGGTTATTCTTTTGATTTCTGTCTCTGTTTAGTAGGTTGAGTTCTTATCTTCTTGATCACATGTGTCCCCTTTCTTGTATATCCTGGCTTTATTTACTTCTTCGGGTCATTTCCCACTAGAGGATGTATAAATGAATTTAGAAACTCTTCTTCTATGTGCTTAATCTCACTTTGTGGGATTTCACTGGGTATGTTGTTGTTTTATTCCATGTGCTTAAACATTGTATTATAATGGAAAAAATACACAAGTTTCCCTTGGACTTGTTGCAAAAGTCATTTACACTCAACTTTATGGGGATGACATGGAAGAGCAAGTATATTTAATTTTCTGGAAGATCGTGAGGGCAAAAAGGTGCTTAAAATAAATTTAATTTACAGGTGTCACTTTTAGATTGGACATCATACACTAATTACACATGATGCCATAATACAATCTTTTATTGTTTATCTTTCTACTTTTTCTTTACTTTTTTTTTGTTTCTTCTTTTATTCATTTTTTTGTTCTTTCTTCTTCATTTCAACGTACCAGAGTCTCTTCTTCATTTAAACATTACCAATGGGCCATTATTATCACCTCCACTTGTTGGCGAAACTATGCAGTTAAACCACCGGAAAACACCAATGGAGCTCCAAACTAAGATCGACTCTGAGTTGGAGCTGCTTTACTAGCAGATGTTTCATCTAAGACTGACTTTGAGTTGGAGCTGCTTGACTAGAGATCACCTAATTTAAACAAAGAAGAAAAAAGAAAAAAAAAAGGTGCAAACTAAGATTTAGTAATTTCTTATGCTGTCACGTATATGTGCAAATGAGCGGGATGGTTTAATTTTGGGCGGGTCAAAATGGGTCAAGCTAATAAATGTTTTTTTTTTTGAAACTGGTAAATGTGTATTCCTTAGCATTAAGGACATGCTGGACACCATCAAAAAGTGTTAGATAAAAAAAAACAGCAACTAGAAAACAAGATACTTACAGAGATCTTAATAAATCTACAAACTGATCTATATCCTCTAAACCTATTTCTTTACACCAAAAGTAGAAAGATATTATACAATTCCATTTAACTTTCTGGATGGAATTGGATCTATCTTCATAACACCTCCCATTTCTCTCTCTCCAAATGCATTGTGGGATGATCCTCCACCACTTCTTTTGACTTTTGCTGCCTCCTCTTTTCATCCAGCAACTAAGCAAATCTGCAATATGCTTCAGCATAGTCCAGCTTGTCTTTGTTATGTTGAGAAATAGAGACCAAAGTTGTGCTGTAAAAGTGCAGTGCAAAAATAGATGACTATTTGTTTCATTTGTCTCATTGCATAAGAAGCACCTGGAAACTATGATGTCCCCTTTTTTCTTCAAAACTTCTTGTGTCAGGCATGGTCTTTTAACCACCAACCAAGTAAAGCATTTTACCTTGGTTGGGGATGGACTATTCCATAAGTTTCTCCATATTTTTGGTTGCCCTCTACTCTGTACCCTTTCTTTCATTTTATAAACCCTTTTAACAGAGAATTGCCCATCAATATTGTGCTTCCATCTTAATGTATCTGGTTCAGCAGTAGTGCCATTGAAATCATCAATCCTATTTAGCAAATTGACTACTCTATCGATCTCCCAGTCATTTAGCAATCTCCTGAAGAATAAGTTCCATCCCTGTGCACTCCACATATCATAAATGGTGCCATCTGGGTTGTTGCTTAGAATAAACAGGTCTGGAAAAATCTCCATTAATGGACTTTGCTCCTTCCAACCATCCTTCCAGAATTTTATTCTTTTCCCATCTCCAACTCTCTTCTGCAAGTTCCCTTCCAGTTTGGGCCATAGAGCTCTAATGGTCTTCCAGACTCCAACTCCATAAGTATCAGTGCTCACATTGGTACACCATGGGTTGAGTTCACCAAACTTGTGTCTAATTACCTCCCTCCATAATGCATGATCCTCCACATTGTATCTCCAGAGCCATTTCATCAATAAACTATTGTTCTTTCATCAATAAACTATTGTTCTGTGCTCTTAGATTTCTGATGCCCAAGCCACCTTGTTCTCTACTGTGCATTGTTGTCTGCCAATTGACTAGTTTATATCCTTTGCCCTCTTTACAGCCATGCCACAGAAAATCCCTTTTAAGTCTGTCCATCTTTTTCATAACTTTGGGAGGTATGGGAAATAGAGACATTACATACGTAGGAAATGCATCAAGTACAGAGTTGATAAGGATGAGCCTCTCTCCTAGTGATATGCACTGTGCCTTCCACCTAGCTAATCTTTTTTCAGTTTTCTCTAATATTCCATCCCAAATTTCCCCTGCCTTGTGTTCACTGCCCAGAGGCATACCAAGGTATGTAGTTCACATATTTTCAACTTTGCACCCTAAAATGATTGCAATATTTTGGATATTTGGCACCTCTTTTATTGGGAACTAACTGGTTTTTCCCCAGTTAACTTTCAAGCCAGAAGAAGCTTCAAAAATAGTCAAAATCATTCTGATGTAACCTAATTGTTCAACCTTTGGTTCACAAAATATCACTGTGTCATCTGCATACTATGACACATACTGTAGGTGACATACTCTTATATTTCCTATCTCAAACCCTTTTATCCATCTATTTTGTAATGCTATCCTCATCATGCTATCAAATCCCTCCATTGCTAGTATAAACAGGAAAGGAGACAGAGGGTCACCTTGTCTAAGACCCCTTTCAAAACCAAAAAAACCTAAAGGTTCACCATTCGCCAAAACAGAGAACTTGACAGTTTTAATGCTTTGGTTGCCATGTTCTACCATTTCCCCTTTCCAAACTCTCCTGTCCCATAAAATAATTATTCCCCCCCGGCTATCATCTGCCTCTAAATGTATCTCTCCCACCCATCTATTGTCCCAGATACTATGTATGAGTCTATCTATATTTCCCCCAAACTTTGTTTCTACCAAAATATACACATCTGCACTCCATTGATTAAACAAATTCCTTACCACCCCCCTCTTTCTTTCGTCATTAAGTCCCCTCACATTCCAAGACACGATCTTTATCCTCATCTATGCATAATGGTTAGTCTCCTCCCACTTATTCTAGGTTCGCCATCCTTGAATTTCATTTTGAACATTAAATTCTTGAGCTCTTTTGGAATTGTGTTATTGTTGCTATTTGAGGATTTACCCTTTCCTGTGTGTCTCTCCAAATATCTCTTTTGATCCAGCTTCATGCACAAAGCATAAGCCTCTTTTTCACATCCCTTGATAGCTGCTCCAAAGGGTTGCCCTAATTTGATCACATTAAGGTGTACCCAGATTGTAGCCCTTGTCTCTATCATCTCGTCTGTGAGATTTTCTTCGATGCTCAATGGTTCTGGTTCATTGTAAGTGACCAGCTGATTCTCAAAACTTTCTAGAAAGGAAGAATCTGCCCCGCTCATACAGTAACTATTTGTCTCCCCTTCAAAAGCTATGCTATCTTCTTCTTGAGTCATGTCCTCTGCCTGAGCCTCCTCGATTCTCTGGTTTTTGGGTCTCCTTCTTCCATTTACATGTGTTTTCCCAGTTCCCAATCCATTATAGAGTGCTTAAAAGGATGTTTTGCTTCTCCCCAATTTGAGTTCATGAAATCAGAAAAAGGCTCAGTGAACATAGCAGTTTTGGGCTTGCTAGAAAGGCCTAATTGTTGTGTGAGATGGGCTTGTGTTTTATTCAGATTTAAAGTGTGCTCAGGGGGCCCACCTCCACTAGCCATGTGACTGTTGTCCTTTTCTTGTACCCCTTCCTTGTAAACCTCGATATCTGTTGTTTTCTTTGTTGCTGGACCTTTTCCTCTTTCTAACACTCTATTTCTGTCTTCTAGCAGCATAGGTCTGTCTTTTGTACCATCAAGCAGTATGTCACTATCACCTCGATCTGCTCTCTTCTCCACCTCCATCAATCTATGTCGCCGGCGACTCCACCCATACCGGCAGTGAGTATTTCAAACCATTATCGACGATCTCAATCTTCGTGGGGATCTTCTCCCTTGGCCCTCTAACTCTGATTCTTGCCCATCTCAGATGATTTTTGATTTCTGTCTCCTCTTCAGTTTCTAGCCACCCCCCACATTCATCACCTATCTTTTCCATCACCTTGTTGGTTCCAGAGCTGCAATGGTAGCCCTAAAACCCTAATCCAAAACCAATCAAACCTTGTTTCATCTGGGAAGGCTCCTACTGTTGGAGACCACCATTCCAGCTTCAAAGTCAGACCTTGTCTCTTCCATTCACCCATGATAACATGTTCAGCCATTCTTCTGGTCTGAAATTCGAAGAGGAAGAGGAAGCCACTCATGTCGTACACCTGAACATTATGAGCTCCTTTCCACGTTTGTTGGGCTCATCTGCGCACTTCATTTCGAATTGGCATATCTCCTTCTCCACAAAACCTGCCAACGAGACATCTTCGTAACAGGTTGCTGTCATCTACATCTGAAGACACCGTCAGCATTGAATTCTCACTGGCTACATTCATTTCTCTCTTGCTCCATTTACTATTGTGCAGAGCTCCCTTGTAATTCCCCTTCCCAGCGATTGTATTGAGATTTAATTCCCTTTTTGTAATAAATTCCCCTTTCTTCTCTACTTTTCTCTCAATGAAGTTTTCCACTCTTGTCACCAGACTCCCCCATCCCTCATTAAATGTATTTTCTAGAATAATAATTACTGATCTACTCTGCCCATTCACTGTAATAACAGAAATAAATCGCCCATACTTATTGAACTTCAGGGGGCAATAAATATATGTTGAAATGTCTCTGCATGTCCATGTTTTGAAGTTTTCCCCCCTGCTTTCAGAAGCTTGCCTTAATCTTTTGCATAACCAAAGTAAAGATCCCCTACTCAATATCATACGCCTGGTAAACAGCCTGGTACTCTCCACCAACTCAAACCATCTCTCTGAAGCAGATATTGACTCTGTAAGAT